GTGGTGTTCCAAGGCGGCTCATCAGAGAGGCGCCGAGGTACTCGAAGCCGACCCAGTCGCTCCTCTCGCTTCCCACACCTGCGCTGCACGCCCACGGCGACCGCCGTCGGCGACCAACCACAGCCGCGAGCAGCGACGGGGATGCTATGGGGAAGCTCGCTCGGCGACGCGGTGGCCGGTCGGAGCGCCGGCGGCGAGGCGCCGAGGATTGGTCGCCAGTCGGCCTCCGCCATCGCCGTGGGAGGTTCCGGAAGGAGGAGATTGGGGATCGATTCCTACTGAGAGGCTCTGACGACTGGGCCCCACGAATCAGCTCCAATTTCAAAGTATGTTTATTATCACCTAAAAATGTACTTATTTTTATTATCAAAAAACCATAGTACTAGGAGTAATAGGTAGTGCATCATGAAATGAAATATGTTTTCGGATGTTGATACTATTCGTATAAATTTAGTCAAAGTTTTATAAAACTTGAACACGGTCCAAATAGTACTATATGATATATTGATACAGGGAGTATTCAGGCATGCAGGAATGCAGGATTGTGAATCCTTGGGATTCTCGGCTAACATCTATATTACTCATTTAGATGCATTATAACTAAGCATTTTTTCAGCCCTCTCAAGCCATTAGCATTTATATCCGTTGAATCATTGATTTTGAGCATTTTACTTTTTCAGCCCTTTCAGGCCATTAGCATTTATATTCGTTGGATCATGGATTTTGAGCCTTTTTGACCATCAGATTTGCTGTGAATCGTTACTAATCACTCGCTATCAACGACCGCGTCCCGTCCTAGGCCACTGCTCTGGTGGCTTTTTTGGGAGTCTCGGGTTAATTGGGCCGAATGAGCCCGTTGCAGCCCCCGCTACGTGATGAAGCCATCGTTCGCCTCCCACAGTCCCACCTTTCCCCTCGCGTGGCGGCTCTTCCCATGGACGGCCGACCTAGGTCGCGACTAAAGTCGGAGCCACGGATCCCATGGCGACCGCACTGGGTTTGGACAGGGCCTCGCCGGGCGACGGCATGGGGTCACCTCAATTGCCTCGTCCGGTTCGGTTGCGCGGCGCGGCGGGATCGTGTGCGGTGAAAGGCCGGTAGATCGATGCAATCTCCAGCAAGGGAACGGGAAGCGGTGGTGCGGCTGTTCAGCGCGACAGACGCCCCGCCGCGACTCGCTATTGCATGCAGGATTGGTAGAATCAGCGTCTTGCGCTTCTACTTTCTCTCCACGGCGTGTGTGTCTTCCCCGGCAGGTACAACTCGCCCCTCTCTTATGCAGATGCCTACAGTTTTGAGGGAGGTCTCGTACTCTTGTATCGTATCTTGATTTCAGTTTCACAACCCGTCCGCCCATGCATTTGAGACCATGTATGATGACCTTATTCCAGTTCAATGGCCAGCCATTGATGCATTTGACAGCCGCCAGCAGGGAGAAGGACAACGACTAAGGTGTATCACGGAACTCTGCCAGTCTGCCCTGCCCACCTAATTCCAGTTCATGACCAAGGCTGCTAACGTTGATTCTGACTTTAACAATGACCAAGCGTTAGGATTATCCCTCCGGTTCTACCAATTTTTGCAGTTGTTGTGTTCATGTTGCGTTTGTTGCCCGGTGATCAGTAAGCATCCATGTTTCCCTTCCCCTTTCATGTCAGATCTCAGATGTAAGATTTTTGGTACAAGGTACTGTGGTTGAGTTTCTAAATTACAATACTAATTTTCAGGTCAATTACGCAACTAATTTTTTAATGCCGTGCAGATTCAGTTTCAAATATGGGGATTCTAATGTGGATATTTGATTGAAAAGAAAGGAACATGGAAGGCCGAGATAGAGGGTACCGGGGAGCTCGGCGTACACTGCAACTTTCCGTAATGAAAATCATGATTACTTTCCTTTATCCAACAGGTTTATTCTGATGACACTATTTCTTATGCCGGCTTTTCTTTATGGGGAATTGGTGGAAAGGTTTATTCTGATGACACTATTTCCCATGAGACATGGACTCCAATACAAATGAACCTGTGATCATGCTTAGTGCTGTTAGAGCTGTCTTTTTCGCTACTGAGTAGCTAGATATGTAACAATAGTGAGTGACTGGTCCATATCTTAATTAGTCAAGCCACTATGACAATACTTTTTGTTAAGTATGGTTGAAGGCTTCCATGCGCACCCCTTTCTTTCCTTTTTGTTTTCTAATGAAGGAAAAAGGTGCATAATATTCCAATCTGGCACACCTACTACAATCCACTTTCTAGTGCCATCCACCTCGTACAGCAGCAGTTGCATGATCGGGAATTAAAGCATTAGTTGTTTGGATAGAACCTTCAAAGTACACACATATCCTATTGTTGAGTGATCTCGTATGGTCCTAGTAATAACAAATGTTCATGACAATCATGATTTCTTCCACGCCAGAGTGAATAATTATATTTCCAACGGGGACTGGTTTGCCAATATAAATAAGTAGAGGAGGGCAAGGTTGTTCTTTGAGAAATGATTTCTGATGGTAGATTCGTAATTTCTTTTGGTTCTTGCGGGTGCATATTGAATTCATGCTCCACCCAACTCATCGAAAAGTCCGAACTGATGGAGCGAGGTGTGCAAAATATTTCAACACTCCCCTCATTTCTAGCCTATTTTAGTCCTTAGACGTGGGACCGATGTAGTCCGCAGAATCTTTTTTTTTAAATATTGCGATGGCAGGTCAGAGCTCATAGCTATGATACCATTTTTTATTCATGCTCCAGTCAACTAATCCAAAAGTCCGAACTGATAAAGAGAAGTGGGCAATATATTTCAACAGCTGCGGATTCTGTGGTGAAACACTGAAACTAGAGATAGAAGGCAATTGAAGAGGTTTTTCTTTAGAGGAAATTGCGGAGTTTTTTACCAGGATGAGATTTTCTAGACTCTGATGCAGACCAAGGTATCCTAATGCTTGAGATCATAACCTACTGCTGCTGGAGCCATCTTCTATACTGAGTAGGTAGATATGTAGCAATCATGAGTGATTGATACATGTTTTAATATACTAAACCACTGACATCACATTGTACATTGAACTAGCACATCGCTTCTTTTTTTGTAATAAAGAAAAAATGGGTGCATATTATTTCAATTGGGAATTCTGGTACTTAAGAACCAGCCAGGCACTGTCCTAAATGCCACCATCTCTCTCTGCTGCGACTTCATGCTTGGACTTTGGTACTAGCTAGTGTTTCCGTTACAGGTATCGCCACTTCCTCTCGTCACATTTCACTGCACTCTATATTCATTTCGATTATTGATTGTATCTATGCCACTTACTTTGGCCTGTCTTACCAGCATATAGTTTCTTATGAGTCATTAAAACATTGCGGTAAATCCGTTAGTTTATACTGATCTTCATGGGACCCAGTGTTGAGCTCCTGTTACCAGAAATAAATCCCCAATTTCCCATTGCAGCTACGCTCCTGCTCCAGGCTGCAGAGGGGGGATTCACCCTCCTGGCCTCCCTGCCGTTGGTCTGACCTGGCCAGGTGCATACAATGTAAAAATAATATAAAAAATAGAATCCCTGTAGCAAAATATACAGAATTGCACACCTGTCTTCTTACCAAAGGGATTTGTTGGTGCTTTCTTTGCTAGCTTGGCATCACTTATGACTGTAGTGCACTCCTGTTCATTTGCCATCTCTTCAGAATTGCCATGCATCTGTTTTTCGTTTTTCAGTCCTGTCACCAAAGTTGTTGCAAGCAGTGCGACTAGAATCAAGGATGCCATAGCCGTCGACACGAAGATGCCAATAAATTTTGACTGCTGTTGTCTGCTCCCGGTAGCAAAGGCTCCCATAGGTACTTGTTTGCCAGAGTGATACAATAGTACAAATAATTTTGCTAATTCTCAGACAACCCAATATTAATTATTGCAATCTCAGTGGCTAGGTGCACGGGTTGACACAAGTTAACGTAATCATGACAGTGGTTGCTTCTCAGCCATGCAAAGTGTTACTCCCTCCGTTCCAAAATATAGTGCTTCCTCTATTTCCGTGCTTCAACTTTGATCATAAATTTATCTAAGGAGACCAACTGCGGCGGGAGCAAAAGTTATACCAATGAATTCGTGTTCAAAAGAAGTTTTCAATTAAATAATTTTTTCTCCCGACGCAGTCGGTCTCGTTGGTTAAATTTATGGTCAAAGTTGGACCTCGGGAAGCTGGCGCACTATATTTTAGAATGAAGGGAGTACTATCTTCTAACCATGGCGCCGAAAAACCCTAGATGATACAAATACAATTACTTTGATACTAGTGGATGTAACCCTAAATAATATAATCCTTGTAGCAAAAAGGAAAACATACATAATTCCAAACCAGTCATTTTTTTTATTAAGGTACTCCCTCTGTAAAAAGTATAAGACCTTTTAGATTACTACATGTTTAGAAAATGTGGACTCGTAGTAAAAAGATGTGAAATCGTGTCTTCTGTAAGAGGTTTATTACAATTGTGTTTTTCATAGTACGGTAGATGTGCGGCTCATAGTGGCTTAAATTACAGTTCTGTATGAGGACAAGGATAAATATTATGATACCCCTATAACAACCAAGATTGGAGCACAGAATCCTAGGGAGTAAGCACATATCTCTATGAAATCTGCACATGCTTGCACAGTTGACTAGCCAGCCAGTGGATGCTACACATCTAGTTGAACAGTATAAAATTAGCCAAACCGTTTTCATGGGACAGCTTCCTTGTTTACGGTAGCAGCTATCTTGATCACATTGTACATATTCCTTTCTAAACGAGCTTAACTCATCAACTCGTCGACCATCCAACCTGCACGCCGGCCTGTATGTTATCTTGGACCATAGCTCGTCCTCATCTCTCAAGCATGCAACATTCATCATCTAGCTAGTTGTAGATGCATTGGGTACGTGCCTAGTTAGATTGCATATGCGATATGTAATCATATATATGATTTTGATTGCAGCGCAGGAGATTGATCGTGCCACCGATTAATGGAAGAACCGGGATGGGTGAATCGGGTGGCCCAGTTGCTGAATTTATGGGAGATCCGGGTCGCGGTCCTTTCGAGCTTCGTCGCACATCTTCTACTCGTGCTCCTCTCCAGCATCCGTCGGCGTAAAGCCTCTGGAGTGCTGATGCTCATCCTTTGGCTGGCGTACCAGTTCTCCAGCTGGGTCGCTCCATACACTCTCAGCAACCTGTCCCTCGGCAACACTTCGTCGCGGAGGCAGCAGCTGGTGGCCTTCTGGACGACGTTCCTCCTGCACCATCTTGGCGGCGCTGATAACATCAGCGCCTTCTCCCTGGAGGACAATAAGCTCTCTGCACGCGAAGCACTTAATGTCATCTCCCGGGTTGCTGGAGCCAGCTATGTGCTATACAAGCATGTGTACATTGGTGGTGGAGGCGGGACTTTGATCCAGGCGTCCATCATCATTTTCGCCATGGGTGCTGCCAAGTACGTGGAGAGGGCATGGGCGCTGTGGCAAGGCAACTTGGGCAACATCTGGAGGTCCAGCAAAAAGAAGCAAGGAAGTAGATTCTTCACTAGTGACTCGGTGATCAGAAGAGGAACGGATTGTAACTTGGACGATGAGGATGCCCTTATGGTAGCACATGACATGCTCCCGCTTTGCAAGCGTGCCATGTCTGATTCTTCCGTCGACACAGAGTCACCTGACAATCATAACCTTGATACAAGCAGGAAAATATTCACTATGAGATAGGATAAATACAACATGGCATCACAACAAGACCCTACGACTCAAGTATTTATTCATTAGGCTCCGAGGAGCGAGATATTACAAACATGGGTCTCATGATCCAACATTCAGAGCATACAAGTCAAAGCATATGCGGAAGCGTAACATGTCTGAGTATAGACATTTACAAATGAAAAAGGCTGAGAAGCCTGACTATCTACCAGATCCTGCCGAGGGCACAAGATCGTAGCTGAGGTAACAAGCTAAACGTCGAAGTCCAAGCGGTACTACTAGCGAGACTGAAATCTCTCTGCAAAAATATAAAATAGGCAAACGTGAGTAAAAATGTACCTAGCAAGACTTACATCAGAACTAGCTACATATGCATCGGTATCAATAAACGGGGGGTGGAGTTTAACTGCAGCAAGCCAGCTTTGACTCGGTGGCTATCCTGAATTACGACTGCAAGTAACTCTTTTGAGGTGGCGCACACGAGTCCACATATTCACCATATCAATACACCACTATGGATCCGCTCCCGTCTACCTACGAGAACGCCATCCATAGCACTCACGCTTATCTTGCGCATTTTAGAGTATCCACTTTCACTTGTCTATGAACTGTTATAGGCAACCCAGAAGTCCATTACCGCGGACACGGCTATTCGAATAGATGATGTTAACCCTGCAGGGGTGTACTTCTTCACACATGCTCTCACCACTTATCGCCGTTTACACGACATGTACTCGGCAACCTTCAAGCGGAAGCCCAGCGAGGGTGTCGGCCACGGCCTACCTAAACACTCAAGTCTCTAGTCCAGTTTATCGCCTATTCAGGTTCCATCCGCAGGGAGTCCCGCCGAGGTTTCCACATACGGCCCCGAACGATGTGAGCAGGGTTCCCGAGACACCAAACGGGCGCCCGGTACACCGTGCCATGTGCCTACCGCAACACAGCCCACCCCTACGGTCAGCGCTGCGTGTGGCCCCCAACATACTACAAACACCGGAAACTACTTTGCAACTCCTGGACAGAGGACAAGGGTGATCAAGAAGTCGAGAGAGTCAATTAAGGATCCCAATGTGTGGTAGTAACTGTTTCATGGATCACAAACACAGAACTCAGTTCCTGAGGACGGCTTCAATGAGACAACCCATCATGTACTCCTACATGGCCTCTCACCGCTACCTTTACCAATTCGTGTTCACACACTTAGCTCCCAACAGTAGGACATGTTCAACACCATTCCAATTCATTCCCGATGAATCAGACCCGACTCAACTCTAAGCAATAGCAGGCATGGCAACAAACATGAATGAGTAGGCACATCAGGGCTCAAACAACTCCTACTCATGCTAGTGGGTTTCATCTATTTACTGTGGCAATGACAGGTCATGCAAAGGATAAAGGGGTTCAGCTACCGCATCAAGTAACAGATGAATAGTTATTGCCCTAATGCAGTAAAAGAGAGCAGGAGCGAGAGAGTGGGATTGTATCGCAATGAACAAGGGGGTTTTGCTTGCCTGGCACTTCTGAAGATAGTATAGTTCTTCATCGGTGTCATCGATCTCATCGTCGAAACCACGTCTATCGAGAGAGGACAAATACCGACAAACAAAGAGGAACACAATCAATGCAATGCACAATATGATGCATGATCATGACATGGTAAAATGAGTGTGTTGGGATAATGCAACTACAACCAGAAGGTTTTGGGCTTATTTGAATCAAGGATTCAAATACAAACCTAAAATATGAACTCATATAAGTGCATTATCATGTTTCATCTAAACAGCAAGGTTAGGTTGCTCTATCATGCATGAAACCAGTACAGATGGATAGATTAGATTTTTCTAATCATTTTTCATATATAATTTGTTTGATTTGGAGTTACGGTTGAATTACTATGAATTTTAGAAGTTTTGGGTATTTTCTGGAATTACCTGAATAAGAATAAATCCAGAAAATGTATTACTGCATCAGCATGAGGTCATGCTGACGTCAGCAAGTCAACAGGCGCCGTCCAGGTCAAACCTGACCTGTGGGGTCCACTGGTCAGTGACAGGGGCTGGTTAGTGACGCTGACTGGTGGGTCCGGTCAACGACCACGTCAGCAAAGTCAACTTGACATGTGGGGTCAGTCAACCGCCATGTTAGCGTGGTCAAAGCTGACGTGTGGGTCCTGCTGGGTTTTAACTAACTTTAAACAGAAAATTAAACTAACCAAACTGGCACAGGGGCCCACATGGCAGTGGCTCTAGAGGTGGTTTAGCTGGGTCATTTGTGGCTAATGATGAGCCATGTCATCAGTCGCCGGAGTTTCGCCGGCGACGACCATTTCACGCGGCGGAGATCGTCGGGATCTTGCTACAGCCCACGGTTTGAGGCGGGGTTTGCTCCTACGGCTTCCTGGCATTCTCGCGCATCTAGTGGTGGTAGTGGCGGCAGCTGGGATGGCCGGGGTTGACGGCGGCGAGCACTTCCGCGGCGGCCGGAGTTCGGGCACCTGCGGGTTTGGTGTTGTGGTGCACGGGAGGGGAACTAATGGGTTCTACGTGCTCCTGGTGAGGTGTGGTGCACGTTGCTATGCTCGGGAGTGAGCTGCGGTGGCTCTGGTCTCGTCTGCATCATCACCGGCGGCGAGGAGCTCACTGCTCCGGTGAAAAGGGCGGCCAGAGTGCGGGAACGAGTGCGGGGAGGAGGGGGAAAGGTGTGGGAGCTCACAACGATCTCGAGGAAGGACTCAGCGGGCTCGGGGACGACCGAAAGGCGACGAATCCGTCGATGGAGTCCGGCGGCCGTGCTCGGGGAAGACGACTCGTGGCGGCGATGTCGGGCTCCTGCGGTGGCGTGGCTCGGGGTGGAAGAAAGAGGGGGTCGAGGCGGAGCCTCTGGGCTGGTCAGGGAAGCGATGGGGAGGCGGTGGCTGCAGCTATGGCGAACGGCGTCGGTGGTGCTCGGCGCGAGAGGGAGAGAGAACCAGAGGAGGGGAGGGGCACGGGAGAGGGTGAGAGGGGCCAGGGCTGCGTGGCGTCGCCTGGTGCATCGAGGAGGAGCCAGGCAGGCTGGGAGGGAGGAGGTGGAGGCCTCGGGCGCGCTGGCATCGACACGCCTCTGCCGACTGGCAGAGGTGGAAGAAGACCAAGGCGCCCCTGGTGGGCTGGCCGATTCTGCTGGGCCACCAGGTAAGTGGGCCTCAGGTAAACGCCAGGTTAGTCCTTCTCTCTCTCTTTTCTAAATTGTTTCTGTTTTCTATTTTTCTGCAATTATTTTGACTTAATTAAAATGCTAAGGGATTTCCAAAAATCATGAAACTAATCATGGCTACTGTTTAAGATATATCCAACAGTAAACATTTTAGTTTGTGGTTATTTGAGCATTTAAAATATTATTAGCAATTAAATGCCCAAATGCAAATACTATATAATTTAATTCAAAAATCCAGGAATAGCCTATGAATATGTTCATCATTTTTGGAAGAGGTTTTTACCTTTAACAGAAATCATGAACATTTCCAAAGGGCATTCTGGGTTACTGAAAATATTTTTATTGAACCTAGTTAAATTCATTTGGTGCTAGGGTTTCAACAATCCCCATTTCAAATTTCTTTGGAATTTAAACATGATGGCATGATGAACAAGCAAAGGCAAGCAAGGGCTGAACTGGGGCTGTGACAACTCACCCCCACTAAACAAGAATCTCGTCCCGAGATTCAAGTCGTGAGGTAAGAAGACAGAGGGGGCACAAGCTAACACGGTCTTCACGATCCAGGTTGCACTTCATAGGAACGTTGATTCGATCATCATCTTTGACTCGACGTCTTGCTATGAGAACTCCATCCAACATGACAACGGGAAGAAAAGGAGAATCTAGAGGAGTCGATCTTCTCGAAGATCGAGCAACCGACGATCAACTCACAGAACAAGACATAGCGACACCTGTCGAGATGAGACATGATACACACATCAAGAATGATGGAAATGAGCATATGACAAGGTTTAAATAAGTAGCGGAATTCCCACACCTAGGAGGGTGGCGAACGGTGTCAACGTAGCGAGGAGTTGGGTTGCCATGATACCACAACGAGACACCTTAAGGAAGGTGACTCGAAGAACTATTCCCTTAAGTGGCAAAAAGAATTACTTTTGATTCAGAGATCATTGACACTCTTTGAACCAGCCTAAGGCAAACCACAACAATCGTTTGGCGGAGTACGAAGGGATGGCATACCCCGACTAGAATCGATGATGTGGAATACCTTGTTGAAGACAACGCAATGGATGACTTTTGCTTATCACCGGAAATGGATGGGACCTATGACAGGACCACTTTTGAAGATGATCCTGGACAGCATTTGCTGAGAAGGACAGCCCATGGAAAATTGGCATGATGGGGTGCATGCTGAGAACAACATGCAAATGTTGGGAATGTTCCAACCATCATATCTGCCTGAGATTCAGATCTGGTTGGTGTCAGAATATTCCAGACTCATCGAATCTAGAAAGAAAAGTGAAAGTTTTGCAACACGAATCGACGAGATGACGTTGCCAGATTCTCGGGAAATGGACTACGGTGGTAAGCTCCAAAACATGAGCCGGTTCTGCTACAAACATGTGAACACGCTGTCCCAGACAAGCATGGACACGTAGTAGTCTTATAATTAAACACTACCGAGTTCAGGTGGGGAACCATCATCGAGGGTATTGAAGTCCTTGTATAAGTCATATGATTAGATCTTACGAAGGAACTTCTTTTCCTCCAACAAATCAGTCAGTGGCTTGGTGTGCTAGGGAATTCATATGGAATGAATGTGATCAGTCTGACATACCACAGAATACTTTGCACGTACATGGCTGACTTGGGATGACTCCATAGGAAGCAAAAACAAGCTTTCTCGAATTCACGGCGGCAACTTGCATCTTTTGCACGTGAACTTAGAGGAAGTCGCTACTTTCATCCAAACATAAGCTTCATGAACAGAACACGAAGGCATTGCTTACAAAGTTTCCAACACTAAGTTGATG